TCCTTCCTTTCTTTCTTTCTTTCTTTCTTTCTTTCTTTCTTTCTTTCTTTCTTTCTCTTTCCTTTACACTTGAATGGCGTGGCAGTCTCCATCTCTGCCGGGAATGATACCCAGAGTATTTTGAACTGGCCTTGCCCTGGCAGGCCAAGGGCACCAGTCCTGCTGAGCTGTGAGGATGGGCTGGAGTCATTCATAAATCTCAGGCACTTCCACCCAGGTCTCATCCTGCCCGGCATAGCAGGGCGCTGACTAACTGGCTGCCAGCGGAGGGAAGAGGCCGACGCCAGCAGTGGGAGGATTTCGGAGAGCAGCAGAGGGGAAATGGCATTTGGGTGGGGAGGAAGCAATTCCCAAGTCTTGGGGGCTTGACCTAAACCTGTGGTAGGAGCAGCGTTTGAGGTGGATCCTCCTCTGAGAAACAGAATGGCGGGTCCAGCCTTCAGACATAGATGAGGCGCGCTTGGGTCTACCCATCATGCTAAGCCATGGGCTGTTTAAACATGGCTTATTGAACGAAGAAGTGTTGGGTGTGCTCAACCGCAAAGCCACAAAGCATGGTTTGAAGGCACCAAGCTTGGCTTCCCCTTGGAACCCACACGATGGCTTAGGGGCTGTATGAACCAGGGCACAAAGGTGGCCAGGGAGCAGATAAGATCCCCCAAACTAGACCCAGTGGGTCTTCTTCTAGTCCTCACGTTCTCTAAACCCTCTCCCTTTGAACGCCATGTAAGCTGGTGGGCATCTCCCCGATGGTCAACCTGGCCGCCCCAGGAGTCCCTTTCAAGCAAGGGTGATCCCTGTGCTGGCTTTCTGAGCTCAAGACTTATGGGGAGGGGGCGGGGGGGAAGGATGCTTTGATATTGTCTCAGAGGGAGGGCAGCCCCAGGATTGCCCTGGTGAGCCCTCTGGCTGTCTCTGGTCTTCAGATCAACGCGGAAGGCTCGGTGGACGACGTTTTCAAGCAAGTCTGCACTCACCTGGATGCTCTCAAGTAAACCTTCCCTTCGTCCCCCCCGGACCCAGACTTCTGCAGACGCGCCCCTGAACGAGCGCCTCTCCTCTCCCCGCCCCACCGCTCTGCCTCCCATGTCATCTCCAAAGGCCGCGAGGGAGGAAGTGGCTTCATCCTGTTTTCGTGGACAGAGCCCCATGGAGGAAATTTCAAGGACAAAGCGTTTGGCTTCCTTAGACCTTCTCTCGCAAAGTAAAGCACGCTCTTGTGAGATGAGATGTTTTTATCTTTTTTTTTTTTGTAATGTGTTTTTCCCCCTCAACCGGGGGGCAAAAAACATGTCTTTTTATTCCTGTTTCCAGGGGTTGATCAAGGTAGGGAAGGTCCTGTGGATTCCACCCCAGACGAGGTGGAACGAGGACAATCCACTCCAGAGCCCCTCGTTGGACTGCAGACCCCATTCTCCCCAGCCAGAGAGGCGGATGCGCAGGGATCTTTTATCCGGCAAGAGCTGGGGGGGGGTGTTAAGCATGGGGGGAGGGGAAGGCTGGCTGGGGGTGATGGGAGTTGTAGTCGTAAACCTCTGGAGCACCTCCCACCCTCTGTACCTTGACACGAATCATTCAGAGCAAGCTTTGGAGGCTTCGAAACCTCCTTTTAGACCCGCAAAGGTTCAAATTCTTGAACAGGCTGATAAATTTCCCCAGGCCTCGGCAAACTAGATCTCCGTGGGCCAGTAGAGCTTAATTTTTATTTGGAAGGAAGAAATGGAAGACGTCTTCCAACGCACAAGCTCCCGTCTGTGCTATCAAGCAATCCAGCCATCCTCAGAAGAATTCAAGCTTGCAACTGGAAAAAGAGAAATCCGGCGAGGGTGCAAACTTTCTCCCCGGGGAGAGAAGAGGGCAGGGGGTGCAAGGGTGCCCCTCAGAAGATCAGGCTATTTTTTCTAGTCTTTCACCCCCCCTGTCCACCCCCACTAGTCCTGGTTCTGTGTATCCTTGTAGGCTGAATTTCCTTAGCAACTAAACATTGCCAGTCACAGATCGCCTTCTCCTTTGTCTCTGTGCAAAGGTCCCCTTTCTTCTTTTTATTTGCTTTCTCTAAAGTAATTCTCTGCT